AAAAATTATAAATTGAATATATAAGAATTTGGTGATGAGCTCAGCAAGAAGAAGTACTGAGAGAACCGGGGGGGACGGGGGGGGGGGGGGGGGCGGGGGCCCCCCCCCCCCCTTGAGACGGAAAAGTCCTGAAGGGCGGTACAGGAAAAAATATTTTCGCGTGATAAAAAATTTTTTGCGTCATGGCGGGCCCCCCCTTACGAAGTTGGGTCCCCCCTTGAAAAATTTCTGCGTACGCCACTGATCAGATACGATACGATACCGTTTCTTCGTTCTACAGACTAAAATAAAACCTTTTAAGTCGAATAATATATATGAGTATTTCTCTTAGTCTAACTCTATTGGACTGTTATAGTAACATGACTACAGTCAAGTCCAGAAAACGTTCAATAAATCGGTTCCGTATCCGGAAAAACTGTGAACTGGACGGGCTCTACCACCGTCTACATACCTCATTTATTATTTATATATATTTGTTGTTTGAAGGCTTTACGTGGTGCTAATAATGATCTTGAAAAACAAGTTAATACATTAAAACGTCAACTTGAAGCTGAAACACTTCTTCGTATTGATCTTGAAAATAAAAATAAAACTTTACGTGAAGAACTTCAATTTAATGAACAAGTTCATGAAACGGTAAATAAATCAATATTTTCTATTTTCATACATAAACAAAAGAATTTCTTTTCTAGGCTATTGAAGAAATTCGTAAACAAAAACATTATCAAGTTAAAACATATGATGATGGTTTACGTCAACAATATGATGATCGTTTATTAAATGAATTACAAGAATTACGTATGCAAACCGAACAAGAAATGCAAGCTATGCGTGATGAAATAGCTAGTCAATATGAAAAAAAAATTGAAGATTTACAAACAACAATACGTCGTAATGCTGATCAATTTGGTACATATCGTAGTGATGTAGTATCATATCGTGAACGTATTGAAGATGTAACTAAAACTCGTGATGCATTAAATGATAAAGTATTATCACTTGAACAACGTTGTCGTGATTTGGAAGATCGTCTTCATCGTTCACAACAACGACAAGATGAATTATTAGTTGAACGTGACAATGATATTGAACGTTTAAAACAACAAATTGAACAAATGCAAATTGATTATCAAAATTTACTTGATATTAAAATTGGTCTTGATAGAGAAATATCAACATATAGAAAATTACTTGAATCTGAAGAAGAACGGTAAAAATTTTTTTTTTTGTTTTTTTTTAATTACAAAACAAAAATTTAATATTGAATATTTAGACTTAATATATCTGGTAATTTATCACGTATGGAAGGATCAAGTATGACAGCAACAACAACAGGCACATTTGAAAGTAGTTCATATCCATCACGTAAACGTCCACGTTATGAACTTGATGATCAACCATCAATGAATACACAATTACTTGATGGTATTAATATTATTGATGATGAAAGTTCACAACCAAAATTTGTTAAATTAATTAATCATTCTAAACAAGATGTTTTACTTAATGGATGGATACTTAAACGAAAAGTTGGTTCACAATCATATGAATTTAAGTTTCCTAAAGGAATGGTTCTTAAAGCTGGTGCTACAACAACAGTAAGATGACATTTTTATTTTGTAGATGTAAAATTAAATAATTTTTTTGTAGATTTGGAGTTCGGATGTTAATGATATTTCGGTTGATCCACCAACAAATTTAAAATTACGTACAACAAAATGGTTTACAAGTGGTAGTGAAAGTAAAAAAACAATTTTGGAAGATTCCGAAGGACGCGTAAGTTCGATTTTGTGTATTATTTGATAGATGATTTTCTTTTTACGTAGGTTATTGCCGAGAAGACGGTTACTATTAAATAAATAGAAGACAACAACAAAAAAACTTATATATTATTGATTTTGTTTATTATATATAACATTTCTTGCAAAATATTCTTGATGTAGTTTTTTTTTGTTTTTTGAAAAGTTTTGTCTTTATTCAAGATATACATGTATGGTGTTTTGTTTGTTATTGTTGTTTTTTTTTAAATTCTTGTGCCAGTAGAATTAAAAAAGAAAAAACAAACCAAAATTATTGATTTTGAATACTTTTCTTTTTCTTGTGCATATATATGTATTAAGTCTTATTTTCTCGTCTTTTGTGTCTTCTTCTGGGAAACTAACTGTACTTTAAACGTTTATCTATTTGACTATATCGTTGCTGTTTATTATAGTTGGTTCTTTTTTTGTCTTCTTTTCAATCCTGAGCATTTATTATGCTTTCTTTTTCGTTGTTGTATTCTTCTTCTCTGTAGTAAATTAAACTTGGCGCAGAATGATGTAATGAATATTTTAATCTTATGAATTTATAGATAAGTAAATAGATGTAGAATTATGAGATATCGATATAAATGGAATCATTAATTGATAAGAAATCTATTTTTCATTAGATTCATTAGAAATTCGATTCATGTCTTTGAAAAGGCTGTGTCATGACAGTAAAAGTTATATTATTGTATAAAGAAGAAATATGTTAAACATTTTTATCTTGTGTGTTTTTAATACTAATTAGTACAGAATAGATAAGGAATGGTTGAAATCAATGAGCTGCTTAGTGAACTGTATGCACGATTTACTATCAGTTTATTATGTAGAAGAAGAGAAATGAATAGTGTAGGTGTGTGTATCTCGGTCCGGACATACTTGGAACCGGCCGTGTTTACATTTATGATTTAAATCAGGAAAAAACTGGCCGATTGTCAAATATGGATCAGAGTGTGGATGTGGTTGTCGTTGAAGCGAAATTGTCTTCTTCGATATAATTAATGACAGGCAAATTCTCACCGACGAAAGTTATATTTTTGTGAGAAGAAAAAAACAATTAAAGTTGAAAAATGATTAACGGATAGTATATCTTATGAACATGAATGAATGACTGAATCTATTGATACCATAAATTATTCCAATCATCAAACTATCTGAATAACACAAAAAGTAGAACACCGCTAATGCCCATAGAGTCCAAAGTTCTCTATAGAAGTATTTAAATAATAATACTATTTCTCCCAAGAAAGTTTGTTGAGTAATATAAGAACTCTGGGACATTGTTAATTAACGAATAATATGTAACTAAATGAAATATAGGTTTTAATAAAAATTTCAAAATAAATTTCGTTGTATATACCGATACTGAGCGAATAAATTGCTTACAGATGAATTTCTTTTCAAGATTAAGAAGTAAAGTTTCTTGATAATTTAGTTATAAAATACGAGAATCAGAACGATGAGCATAGATATTTCATCACAAGAAAAATTCAGTCCACATGCAAAAGAAAATTAGACTAAATATGATTTCTATTGAAAGATCAATAAGCGTTTGGGTGTTAATCTTCTTATCATTTCCATTCACACACCATCACACTTTTTTTGCATGCTTAATCGTTCGGTGCTAATTTATGAAAATAAATAAGACTATTTGTATTGCAGAAGGATACGTAACAATATTTTTGTTTATGATAGACTTTCAGTCATTTTCATGATGATAAATGTTTAAAAATAATCACAACGGTCACTAGAATAACACTCAATTATGAAACCTATTATTATCTTTTCTTCAATTGTTCAATAGACATTAATATATGCTAAGAGAAAAAAACATATATACTTTAGAATTAAAAAGAAACGTATGTACATATTCATTTGACAAAAGTCATGAATGTTGATTTATTTTTTGTTTTGATGTGATGTGCAAATGTTATAGCTCACTTCATTTGCATATTCTTTTAACTGTTCAATTATATCACGTACACCGCCTCTTTTAAAAACATATCAAGTGGCTTTCTTTTTTTTCTTCAGTTAAGTATATTTTTCATTATCAAACGATTATTGTTACACATGAGTAATTCGATTATTAAGATAATATGCTTTATGACGTCATCTGTTATTCTAAATACAAAGAAAAAACAAAAGACAATACAATATCATAAATTGATAATTATATCTGATTGAATATTTCGCTTTCGTTGAAAATTATTATTATTTTGAATCATTAATCGATGATCTGTATTATAATTTTGATTCACTGTTTGTTGTTTTTTTTTAATATAATTTTTTAATTTTTTATATTTAGGAAATACACCAATCCAATATTGACTTTCTAAATAATTAATGTATAAATTTTTTGCTAAACATTTTCCAATTTGTCGTAAGTGAAATTTACAATAAAAATAATCACTTATTTTAATAAAATCAATATCTTCAATAATAAATGCAAGATGATAAAGAAGTATATTATAAGATTTAATTTCATGTAAACATATATACACACGATCAATTGAACATTGCTGTTTTAATCTATTATTTATATAGATTGATACATGAAAATCAATTGGAGATAAAACAATACGTCTTTGTTTGAAATTTTCAATAAGATTTAAACATAAAAATATTGTTAAAAGTCCAAATGTAAATAATAATAGAAATTCAGAACCTGATATCCAATATTCATTTATATGAAAATGATAATAACAATATAGAGTTAATACAAATATTAATATTTGTATAATAATTATGAAATAAATTGTTGACCAGCGACGATATTTATATTCAAATGTAAATGATTGAGTATATGTAAATGGATAATACGGATTTAAACGAAAATTTTCAAGAATTTTCTCACCAAACTGTGAAAAAATAAAACCTTATAGGAGGTACCGAATATGCAATATTAAAGTAGTTTTTTTTATATATGAGAGTAGTATTTTTCAATGACCCATTTTTTATAAAAAATAGGTCAATTATTCGTAACCAACAAAATGTCACTTTTTTTGTTTTCTTGTAATTTCAAAATTATTTTGTTTCAGATTCATTGTGAGAGACTGAATCTAGAAAAGTCATTTATAAATGACTTTTCTACGTTCAGTTTCTCACGATCAATCTGAAAGAAATAATTTTTCAATTATAAGGAAAGAAACCAAGTGACATTTTATTGGTTACTAATAATTGACCTATTTTTCATAAAAAGTAGGTCATTGAAAAAAATTGAAATTTTTCTCCTAAAAAACCATTTAAAAAAAAATTGACAACACATATTTTTCTTGATCAGCTCGTCACACCCTTTCTAACCATATAAAAAAAGCGAAGGAAAAAGTTCTACTTTAAAATATTGCATTCCCAGCACCTAATAATAATAAAATAAACGTACAGGGTCATATGATTTTAGAATAATTGAAATTAATGTTCGAAGTTTGTTGGTAAATTGATGATGATATGACAAGGCCATTCAACGAAAAAAATGATAACTCCTCCATAACATGTAATGATTGAACTCTGTTGTTTTTTTTTAATTTTAAATAATCATTTGTTTACAATCATCAATAGAAATAAATGATAATCATCTATATGATTCATTGATCAGTCTCGCGCGTTTTATATCTAGATGATTTATTCTTTGCAGTATGTAGTGTGTATAAAATTGCATTAGATTTCTTTTTTTAAACGATACCAAAATAAATAAATTTTCGCCTATGCAAAATGTCAAGTTGAAATTCTAAAATCAGTTTTTCTGTTATCACAAGATTTATGCTAAAAAAATACCGTCAAAGTACAGTATCTCCTTAGCAATAATCTAAGAACACGAACTCTTTTTTTTTCAGATTATTTATATATGATTTGAACTTGTACTTTCAAAATATGAGGATGATGATAGATAATAGAAAATCTTCGTAATTTAAATAGTGTCATGGAATCGATGGGAAATCGAACGGTGGTGCAAAATGATACGCGAGAGTTGTTCTATCAATATGGTCAATCAAATTTGGTGTTTGTAAGAGTACTCAAGAATATTCTACAACTCTGAGCATACAAAAATCAACTGAAGTATTGTTCATAGGCAAGTATCAGATAAAAAGACAGAGATTTGCAATAATTCTCTTACTTTAATATATTATTACTTTCTTTAATTAAACGAATCTTTATATCAATTGTAATCATTCGAAAAAAAAACGATAAACAACCTTGGATGCTATGCAAATATAAAACCAATCATAAGTAAAAACAATTTATTTTTGTGTTTTGTTCTGAAAATCAAATCTTTACTTTCTGTTCTTGAATTCTTAAAAATTATTTTTTTCGTAATAAAAACTATAACCATTTATATATTCATTTCATAGTATGATCTTTCATTGCTGGAGTACAAACAATTCATATAAAATAGATAATATATTACAATCGTATGAAATGGTAAGAGTAAGAATTTTTTTTTTATGATATTTTTGTTTAATATTTAATCCAATTCCTTTTATGGAAGATCTTCATAACTTAAGCATTGTTAAGTATATACATTCTCTGTTGAAGAGTATGTAAATGAAGCTTTGATATTTATTGTAACAGTAGTTTTCAATTTTTTATGAATAACATGAGGCAACAACCCAAATTACGTTGTACTTTGTCAATTTTACATAAATTTAGTATTTTGATATATTTTATTATAATCACAGATTTCTTTGTAGTAGATTTTATTAGACGGATGTTTTTATAGACTAAATACCATTGAAAAACTCTTTTGAGTATCTTGTTTTTTTTATTTTATATGATTTTATCAGAACCTATAAAATCTTTTGTTCATCACATCTATGAAGGTTATAAACTCTAGCTAAAATTATCATTGTATTGACATCATGAAATAAAACAAAAAAAAAACGAAGAGTTTTACAATATTGATAATAATTCAGTGACATTTTTATTTTGTGCATACATATTGGCCAACCGCTCTGTCTCCCTTGAAATTCATATTAATTTTATGAATTTCGAATCCTAATATCATTTGGTTAATTTTATATTTTTAAACCATTGAAATATTTTATTTCTTTACGAAAATAGATTTGATGAAAAAACACTGATTAATAATCACTATAAATATAGGAAAAAATCATCTTCTGTTCTTTAATTTTATATCGAAAACTGACGTAAGAACATTCATGAATACATCAGTCTATTATTATCTTTATCAATACAAAAATTTAGGCTTTCATTTTATAATATGAAGCATTGTAAAGGTTGATGGTGGCATATTGTTTTGCCGATTGCAATGAATAATCTGGTGTAATTTTGTTCTTGATGAAAATTTCTCTTTTGAAAAGGTAGAAAAAAAAAGAAATTCTCTTTCGTTTCGATTCTTCATTACCAGGAATGAATACGTAATTTCTTTGGAATTAAAAACACAGGTTGATGCAAGTGTAAGACACCTGAATATTTCTCAAGTACGTATATATGTTTATTGAAAAACGAAATTCAGTATTCTGTGATAATGTAAAATTGTCCTTGAAAAATTTTTTGCTTTTTTTTTATAGTTCGCGCGAAATATCGTCTCTATGTGCAAGTCTATTGTTGAGGAATTTTCTATTCGTAGTTGTTAAGATGACATTTAGTATTGAAATACTTCAGTTTTAGACAGATGGAACCTATCTTTTGCACTTTTTTGCGCAGCATCTTATTGAAAAAAAATACATTGATGTTGTGATAAATACATGAAATTCACACAAGACCAGGTGTGTTATTTATTACATTACGACGATTTTTAAACATTTCTAAGGATTTGGATGCGTTGTGTAGTGAGCTACACGGTTTCAAATCAACACTTGTCAACATGCAATGTAATTTTTTACGAAACGATAGAATGCATTTGTTTAAAAATCTCTACAATAACACATTGTTATTCGTTCTACGAGCACATAATGAATCACAATATTCGCATAAAAAAGGCAACAGATTTTTTTTGTTTGAAGTTAAAATTACATTTTTTTTCTGCATTGTACTAATAGGATGAGATAAAAAGAAAAATCAATTATTTGCACAATTTCCAAGACAACAAGCTGAGCACTGCTAACAGTTATTTTTGTATTTACTCGCGATGCATGATTTTGAGTATCCTTGATAGATTTTGTTCCTAGCGACGTTTATACTCTCAACTGTTTTTCTGTTTGAATTCAATCTAAAAATAAAAATTTATGAATTAACTAGCGCCCTCATCATTCTACCTGTCAAAGTTCTTTTACCAATTGGTTATTTAATATAATCCAATCGATATGAAACAAGAAGTTTTCCCAAGCCAACAATCACAGAACAGAACACATTTATACATGCTCATATATTTGTACATATATATAGTTTGTGTTACGCCTGAATGCATACGTGTTTACTTTGTATCTCTATTATTTAAAAACGATAATGACCTTGCTTTATTTGTTATTAATAATCGATCTAGTGATTAAAGTCAGCTTCATGATTAGACTTGTTTTTGTTTCTATTTCGTAGATAATATTTTATTTCCCATTTTTTGAACAAAAAAGACAATTTCATCGATTGCTTAACAACCAAGTTATTTGATAATGTTCTCAAAACCTTTGCGAACAAATGGACGATCATCAAATAGTTTTCTTTATTTTTTACACAGTCTCTTATTATTACATATATGCACCGCATTTTTAACTATTGTCAGTGCTTTAAATAATCCGGAAAACGAAGGTTAGAAATAATTTTTTTTTTGTTTCAATTTTGAAAATATTCTTTTATTTTTTATTTGTCTAGCATTTATTCAATTATCTGTCGATTCAATTCATGTTGTTAAGCCATCTGATCCTCGATTTGCAGTAAATTTCTTTTTATTTTATTCTCATTGTTTTGGTTTTTTGAAAAATATTCTATAGAATATCGAAGAAATTGCAAATGATGATGAAGAAAAAGATCTTCTTATTGCATTATTAACATCATTTGATGATGATCATACAAATATAAAACAAATTGATATTGAAAAAGCTTCTAAAACTACATACAATAATGAAATCTTACGAAATAATAATTGTACACCATCGTCATCATCATCATCAAGTGCAGGAACAACAACAGCATCATCATCTTCAATACGTTTTATTCCACCTCTACTTGATTTTGGTGAACAGTAAGTTTCATTTAATAAATTTATGAATTATTATCTCGATGGAAAATTTCTTTTCTTGTTTCAGATTTATCGCTGTACCACGAGTACAAACTGTTACAATAATAAATGATGATTCCGAACCACTTGAACTTCAATCATTATCTGGAACAACAGTACAATTTTATTCATCATTTTTTACACAGAAAATTCTTTCACCATATGGTGGTAATACATCCATAAATGTATATTATTTACCACGAACACTTGGTGGTACCAAAAGTACATTTACAATAAAAACTAATCGTCGCACTGTATATTATTATGTAAATATTAATTGAAAATAATCTCTTTTTTTTTTTCAAATTATTTTGTCTTTATTTTTCTTTTCTAAGATTAATGGCATTGGTGTATTAAATCCATTTCGCTTACGTCCATTAATTGGTGCAACAATACCATTAAATTCAACATTTGAATATACTATAAAGTTATATAATCCACATAATTTTTCAATAGATATAAATGAAATATTTACAAGTGATGAAAATTTAATTATTGAATTATTATCATATAAAAATCAAAGAACTAAAAGAATAAAAGTATTCGAACATAAAGAACACTGGCATATAGAACCTTATCAAAGTAAATCAATTATTAAAATACAGTATTTTGCTTATAAATTAGATCGTTTACATGGATTTTATTGTATTAAAACAAATTCTAATGATACAATTATTGTACCTGTTGAAATCAATGTTTTAAATCATTTAAATCTTTATTCAAATGTTGATCAATTAGAATTTAGTCCTGATATTTTCATACGATCAACAGCTAAACCAATAACTATACCAGTATATGTTATCAATAATGGAATAATTCCGGTGACTATTACTGTAAGTTTATTAGGAATGAATATTTTCTTCTTCGAAATATAAAAAATAAAATATTAACTCTATCCATAGAAATTAAGACTTAAATTTTATTAAGCAGAAATTTTTTACATATGTTTATTGTTCAAGAATATTTTGAAACAAATTCTAATGAATGAGAATGTTTAGAAGAACTTTAACCTTTAATTTATAACAATGGTTTGACTTAGATCGTTTTCTAAATTTAACTAAACATGATCAATATTTCTCTTAAAGTGACGAAAACATTGTAGTAAAAGATTTTTAGTCATAATTTTTCCGTATACTTGACTTACACGCTTGTAAGAAGTTCATGTTAGTAAATATTTGTAATAGTAATATAATGGCTGTACGCATGAAAGAAATTTATATACAGAACTAATGATTTCTGTTTGCCCTCATTGAAAATTACCAAAAAGAAGTCAATAATGTTAGTTGTGTTGATGTTTATGTCTACTTGACATTTTGAAATATCACTACAAAATTCAGAGAAAAAATGCACAGGATGCACTTAATCCTCATGTTCATGTTTTCTATAGAATTAATTAATTGTAATGATTTATTATGAATTTATCATATTATTTTTCAAAGACATCTAATGGATGGATCGACAGTTTTAAGATGAAAATGCTTGTTTATTTTTGATTATCTTGAAAGAGTTTTCGACGAGTAGAGTCCATTAAAAGAAACATCATATTTGGATTTATTAATATCAATGAAAATTTTCTTCTAGAATGTTCGAGTTACAACAGCAAATATTAATTATGTAACAGTTCATTATGAAAAAGCTCCAATTCCAAATGGTATTTATCATTTAACAAAAATAGCAGACTTAACTCTTCATCCACATTTGATACCTAAAGATATTACACGTATTCGTGGTTCAGTTGAAATATATGTATTATCATCTTATAATGAAGAACCTATATTACGAATTCCATTTCGTGCAACAGTTTTACATGGTTCACTTGATTATGATAACGAAGCAATTCATTTTTACATTCCATCATCTTCAATTGATTCATCAAATGATAAAAAAAATGAATGTCGATCAATTAAATTAATGAATCGATTTAATACATCAATGGTTATGTACAATATATCGATGGATAAAATGGATCAACTTTCACAATATATAGATGTAAATTATAGAAAAAAAAAATTTTTCTTTCTATTATGTCTTAATTTTACTTTTTTGATAGATAAAATTTGCCTCACAATATATATATGCTAATCCAGGTCAAACGATTTTTCCTTTTTGTATAAGTATTCTTAAACAATTATCATCAACTTCATCATTAATAACCTTGGAAGCAACAATTACAATGCATACAAATCTTTCATTTTTTCACATGCCTATTTATTTATATAGTGGATTACTTAATGTAAGAATATCATTGATTTTTATGTTTTCTTTTTTCTTAATAAGAAAACACTCAAGTTTGAGAATAGATTTATAGAACTTGGGATGTTTCATTTCACTTTTATCATAGATGAAACTTCGAGAGAGAGAGAAAAATAAGATAAAATTTAATTAACTATTAACTTCAATATTTCTTTATGCACCTAGAAAAGGAAATTAACACCGACGTAAAAAACATGTCAAGGGTTTCGAGGACTGATTAATGTTTCCTTTTTTTTTTCGAAGTATAAGCATATGCTTCTGATTAATGTTTATAATTGAAAGATAGACACATTTTTTGTCAATACAAGAACGAAAAAAAAAAACTGCCCAATCAACAAAGCACATTATCTGCCTCATCTTTATCGGCAGTTTTGAAAATTCTTGGTAAATTTACTCGACCTTGACTTCCAGAACTTTACTATTATTCGATTTAGATTTGAAATTTGATGAGCGTCACATAAAATAGAAAAATAAAATATAGTAATAGATAGAGAATTGCATGCTCTGTTAATTTCTTTAAAAAAATGTTGCCTTCAAAGTCGATCTTGATCTTGAAAGTCTGGTTTTAGTGAGAATTGACAAAACATACGGACAAGTGAAAATCCTTCAAACCTTATCGTATATCATTTATGCCTGAGAATAATTAAAAGCTAGAAACCTGGAAAATGCCTCATTTAAAAAAAGTTGAATTCTTCTCGAGTGTACCGTCAAAAAATCATAAGTATAAGTGACAAAAAGTGGTCTCTTTTTAATAGTAGATTAAATTTTGAAGTTGAATGTTTATTTTCTGCTATTTTTTCTTCGTCTTTTTATGTTTATTTCACCAGTTTAAAAAAAAACCCCACACAATATGACCTCCTTTCACTTTCAACCAGGGTGTGGATTTTTCTTACCGGAAACCTTCACTCACGACCGTCGAAATAATTCAAAAGTCATACAATATAAAACAATGGGATTTGAAGGATTTTATTTTTCCATGTGTTTCGCCTATTCTCGCTTAAATCAAATATTGAATGTCAAGATCGACTTTAGGAAGAAAATCTTTTTTTAGAAACTCATAGAGCATGAAATTTTTTATCAATTGGTCTATTTTATTTTTATTCTAGTGAACACATTTTGATTAGAAAATGTGAAATATTGAAAAGTACTCAAATCTATGTTTGCGTGGAGAAAATCATGTTAACTATTAAAAGTCTATATAGATAAACAGCGTTCTCTCCTATAATACACAATAAAAAACAAATTCACTTAAAGTTTTGTTGCTGACTGGGTATTTGCTTTAAATTTTGGCTATTAGGAGGACTTAGTGAGAAACAGTTTGGAACAATAGCGTGCTTAGATAGAGCTCTAATTGCGACATAGGTGTAAGAAAATGGGATTTGATTAGTTTCTACTCTTTTGTATTTACTCAAGGAAGTCTAATCAATTTCTAGGTCATTTTCATGTAAAACTATAATGTAGTATAAAAAAGAACGTGAACTTTTTCTTTGTTTTTTTTTGTAATACGAAGTGACAGCAAGAAAAAAAACTAATCGATAGACTTCTTGGTGTATTAGCCACTGTTCTGTGATTTATTATTGAGTATATCTCCATAATCAAGTGTAACATCGGTCTCGATTGTATTTGATGAGCATGACATAAGACTATTGAATTCTAATGTAAAGATATTCAATGAAATCCGTTGCTTTAGAATGTTGAACGGATCGAAAATTAGTCTTCTTAGAACTTCGAGTGTCCAGAACAGATGCAACTAAAGCAGTCATAGTCATTTTTGTAACAGAATGTGAGAAAATATTTAAGTTAGTTGGTGTACTTTACATTATATTTGACGCTCAACGTGGTTTTCAAGTAAAGAGAAATATATATTCTTTACTTATGAATATGCCTCTGTCTTGTGTATCAAATAAAAATTCTATGTTAAAAATTGCAAATCTCAATTTCTTGGAATGAAGAAAAAAAGCCATCGAGGAGAAACTACAAACTGCCATTTTCTTTCACTTACAGTAGTTATTAAAAGTCCCGCTACTAGGTCAAAAATACCTAAACTTTAATTCTTTAGTCTTGAACTTTGACTAGAAATAAAGCATGTTGAACTCTGACCAGTATGACTAATCATCAGGACTTGATTGACTTTCATATGAAGAAGGTAGGAGATTAACATAGGCTTCTTTTTTCTTCAGACGAGAATATCTTAACATTGAAAATAAATCTTTTGATATTAGACTCTTAGTTCGACAGCGTAGTGCTGCTTCTTGTCATCCATAAAAAATTTCATATCAAATGATTTTAGTTTGCCGGATTTATGAAATACTCTTTTGTTAATTTTCTCATAAGAGTTGATGAACAACGTCGAAAAAGTGACTAATATCTTCAGCTAATTTTAACTATTTGCGTTAGAATTTTTACCATTGAGTATCCTACTCTAATCGAGTTTTCGATGAATATTTCATGATTACAGTCATCAATGGAGAAGATATCCATGCTAAGACCATTCTAGAATATTAGTCTTCTCGGGCATCTCAAGATGACAGTAGAGTAAAGTACCTTATCTGTGACATAATATAGACATATGAGCTTTTATTTGTTAAACAGAAAATGAAATGTAGACTAATGCATTTAAATAGAGGAAAATCAGAAAAGTGTTGCAAAAGCCTTTTTTTGACTCTAAAGAAAACAAATAGTGTTTTCATCGTAAATCCTTTGTATTAAGACATATCGACCTCGGGTTACTCCTTGCGATCATGTTAACCGGTATTCAAAGTGTCAGATAAAACGATTAAAGGTTATGTGTATTTTCCCTGGTAGTGGGGCTTCGTATAACTATTGAATATGGCAACCAGGTCGTTATCTAAGTACGATAAAGGCCCGAACCCCTTTAGAGTTATCTTGACCTATTTGAGTCCTTCTCATAGCTAAAGTTAAAGCTCGATTAATGTCCGACAGTTGAACATATTCTTTCATAAGTCAATAGTGTTATTCAATCAAAATAATATTTTTGTTTTATTCTTTTTTTGTTTTCAATTGATGACGTTGTTAATAATCATATATAGATGTAGTTTTTACTATTGGTTTCATTTAGCTTGATCTCCTAACTGACAGTGCAAATGGTGGTATTAGACAGAGTGAGCCAAATACATTAGAATATTACATAGCAACTATACCGGTGAATGTGTCACGCACAGTAAAATTCATATTAAAAAATGCAAATCCAATTAATATATCAATAGACAAAATATCTTTAACGTTACCAAAAGCAAATATTCGTCTTCATCAAACACAATTATTAAATGGTACTGAAACAAAAACAACATGGCAAAGTTCATATCAAAACGACGATATTACACAAGTAAGATTATTTTCATCAAATAAATTTATGAATAAGAAAACAAAAATGAATAAAAATTGCTTTTTTTTTTTATTTAAAGCTTGTTATTCCTGCACGTCATCAAGCAATATTTTCCTTAACAATTCATGGAACAAATGAACCATCATTTTATAGTGAAATAATTACTTTTAAAACACGTTATCAAGTAAACAAAAAAAAAAACCCACATCAATTAATTTTTATTTATCTATTTCTTTTCATATCTATAGACTCTTAATATGAATGTTAAATATCGTATTACAAGTGGATCGCTTGAACTTGAAAATCAACTTCCACTACATATTGATGTATTTCCGGTAACAAATTTTTTTTCACAATACAAAAAAAAAAAAAGAATTCTTTTTATATTAATTTGTTTTTGAATAGAATCAAGTTGGAATGTCAGAGGTTTTTTTAAATAATAAATTTGATGAACCAACAGAAATAATACGATTAGAATTTCCGACATATGGTAAAAGTTTTTCATTTATTTGGCATAATACATCACCTGGTAAAATAATTCTTAAAGCAAATCAAACTTATCAAGTAAATAATTTTTCTAATTGAATATTAATTTTAATTATCATTTATATTTTATTTTAGATTGGTAAACTTTGTTTTGATATGAAACCATTATGTAATAGTAATCGAATACCATCAGAATCAACATGTTATTGTGGTTTAAATCATCATCCAGAATTTAAACAACAATGGAATCAACATATATCAACATTAAATAATAATGAACTTGATCATATACTTGTAACAAAATTTCGAAATCTTTGGCAAGATTGGACTTCACTTGTTCGAAAACAACGGTAATCAAAATAAAGATAATCATTTCTTTTTTGTTTATATTTTGTGAAATATGATCTGCAACGAGTATTGAAGTCTATAGGTAGAAATTTGGATCCTCTGCAAACATTGTTAATATACGATCAAAGACTATATCAATAACATCTCGTTGTAAGATATAGTAATCGATAAAAGTTTCCGTCCCAGCCGATTTTGGCCACTGTATGTGCTGGAAATCTGAAAATTTCTGTACTCGTACTTTACTCAGAATGTAGATCATCACAAAATACTCGTCCTTTTCACTGTGTTATAAGACTGATAACAAAAATAGCTGCTATCCATTATAACTCTCATTGTAATTACTCAATAACAGTGCTACCAGGCTAATGATTTACATTCTTGATGAAGTGCGCAAACACAAATATTCAGACCTCCAACACATACCGTGATCGAGATCAACTGGAATAAATAAGTTTGTCCACTACTGTATGAACTATTTCGTCATTGCATTTTTGGAGAAAGGTGAAAGAAGAAATGTGTCCCAAAATAGATAGAATAAAACAATTTTATTGTAATTAGTAAGAGCAGTAACGCAATATTTTACATTTTAATCGTACGAGAATTCTACTAATAGCTTTTATTTATTGATTTAGAATTCAAACAAATGTTTGGCTAGTGACAGATCAAGCTAATGCATCATGGCCGGTAACAATTGGTTTTGTTTGGCCATCTGTACTTGAACATATGTCATCAAAATTTTCACGTACACCAATTATTCTTGATTTTCATCTTACTCTTATAAATACAACAAAAGTAAATTGTAAATGATAATTAAAATCTGATTTGATTTTTGATTTTTAGACACAAAATATTATTATAACAAATCCTTCTTCAAGTATTATTCAATATTCGATTGAACTTGTGGGCAATTATCAAAATACAGCAAATAAAAAGAAAAAAAAATCAATTAATAACAATCAAATATTTGATATTACAACAGTATGTATGAAAAATAATAAATCGTTTGTTTTTTTTTGTTATTAGAAAAGAAATTAAATAGAGAAATTCAAATAAAAAAGAAGTTATATTTTATGTTACATTGGTCGAAGATTTTTACTCGATAAAAATATCTATGCAGAATTTTATTAGTTATAATTGAAGTTTTTAAATTACACAATTATAAAATTAATCAGAGAAAATTTTTTGATAATGAATAGGTCTTTATAAGACAATGAAAATCTTCAAAGTTTGTATTAAATAAATGATGGATATAGATTAAGAAGCTATTGTTACTAATCACAGGACTTGGTGAAGTCTATAATCGTATATCAGCAACATATGTGACGGAGAGAAGGACGTGGCTAAGGTATCTGTCACGATCTGCAATCAAGGAAAGACAATGCTAAAATGTTTGTCACAATCTGTATCGAAGGTGCAAATTTCTACCCTACGTAATTCAATACGACTTGTAACTAGTGTTTTACAAAATGTTTAATTATTCTTTTAGTCTTAGAATCATAGGAAGCAACAAAACTATGATGTTTTCTTGACAGAAAAGAATTTCATATCTTACTCTAGTCGAGCCGATTATCAAATGAATATTTTTCTCGGATACTCTATCCATTGTTGACAATAAAAATATCTAATTCGATGTTATAACTACTAGCTGTTTATGCAACTAATTTAAATGTAAATAAAAAGAAACATATTCTTTCAATTTTAATATAATAAGACATTATTCTCTATGTAAAATTAAAATATTTTCTTTTCTTTTAGACATCCAAAGCAGTAGAATTAGTTAATGGTATATACAAATTTAATCTTCTATCTAATGAACATATTGTATTTACTGCATCGTATCGACCAAAATTATCAACAAAACACGAAATATATCTTGTTGTTCGGTATGTCGTTTTATTTTTCTCACTAAAAATAAAATAAAATAAAAATTTATTTTTATTTTTGTTTTGCTTTAGAAATAATTTGACTATAATTGAATCAATACTTTTACGTGGTGAAGGTGGTAGGGGTAGTTTAACAGTTGGTAATCGTAAAGCTGGTTCATCCGATATTCCACTTGTCTTAGAAATGAATGAAAAACAATATAAACTTTGTTCCGGTACTGAAAAATTTTCTATTCGAAAGAAAGGAAAAATGAAAATATTTTTTTCGTATTTTGTCTTATACAGATTACATTTCTACAGATGGTGCACGTGGAAATCCAGTATTACAAAAAATAGTCACACTTCGTAATACAGGAAATATGAGAGTAATCATTTATGATATATTATTCGGCCATTCAAAATGTTCAGGACAAGGTTTTTCTGTTAATGTATGTTCAAATATTGAAATAGAACCAAATGAACGATTTGATCTACGGATTCGGTAAAAATTTTTCTCTTACGAAGAAACATTTTCAAATGCGACTCGTCAATCGAACTGATATTCTACCAATAAATAGGCTTGCAATGAGAATAATAGAAGTCTATAATTTCTAAATGATTACAATTTTACTTCGTTTTTTATCTTTGGCAAAAGATTTGTGAGACAATCAAGCAAAATAATTTCAATCCTAAAGAATGTGTTGTGCCTTAGATATTGAATTTTGAAAACAGTCAGCTCTCTTACATTGACTTGTGACTGATGATTATTTTTAAATACTTGAAATCTAAAAAAGAACACATTCATTTAGGCCGAAATTTTCAGGACATTCTAAGATCAACGAGACTTATCATTGCACAAATTTTCAAATCGAAATTTTATAATTTGATTTTTCACAAATACCTTGCCAGGGATAAAAAAATTCAGTAAAACTACAATAACTTAAGTAGAATAGAGCATGGAGACAAATCCTTATAAGCTCGATTAGTTTCGTTGGGATCCACATAATGGATAAAGCATCAGTTTCATTGGTGAATTACACTTCGAAGCATTTGCTCCCTAATTTTCGTTTTTTTTTCCTAATCATTTTATTTTTATTAGTTTTCAACCAGATTATACATTAGCTGAAATAGCTGAATCTTTAACATTATCTACAAATATTGGTCCTATGACATTTCAAATAATTGTTCGAATTCCACAACGTGTTTTAGCTACATGTTATCAAACAATACCACGTCCTGAATGGGAATTACATATGCATTACATTTGTATATGTTTTATCTTCATTATTCTTCTGTTTATTTTAATATTCGGTATTTTTGATGCTCGAAGATTATTTCTTAATGTAAATGACATCATTTTCTTTATTTAGAAGTTTCGTATTTTGTTTTGTTTTTCTAGTATATAGCTCGAGCAGAACTACGTCATCGTTTATCAACAACAGATCCAAAACTAGTTGAATTTACTGATATTGCAGCTGCTGTACAGGATCAACTAAAAATTTTGTATGACTATACTGAATATACATATATATAATTCATGAGAAATGGTTTATTTTTAGTGAACAAATCGAACCACGTACAACAACAACAACAACAAATAGTACAATAAATGCTAAGAAAGAAACATCAAAAGATGAAAGTAAAACAAAAGAAAATGATACGAAAACAAAACGTTCTAGTGTATCAATCAATGGAAGTAAAGACAATGGAGAAACATTACCAAAGGTAATAAAAATTCTTTCTTCTATGCTTTTATTTTAATTTTATATTTTGATTTACAGATATCACGAAATTCCGATGGAACTAATATACCTGTTCGATCAGTAGCAACTAATTCAAAAGCTATTCCACAAAAAACAAAACGAACAGCCATCGATAATTGTCCAGCAAAAGTAAATTATGAATCTGATTCTTAAAAGTATCTTTTAGTATTAAGATTCTTTCATGTCTTATATTTAACGAATGATCGGAAAGTTTTTAGATAAAATGTTTGTTCACTTTTAACCTGTTCGAAAATATTCTCAATGAGTCCAATGATATGAGTTAGGATACTCTTTTTGAATATGGACTTAGAAATTGTGTCTCACTGACGGAACAATTTTGTATTTTCACTATTACAGTTTGAAAACTAAAACTTGAGATCTTTAATCAGCCTGTAGAGGAGAAGCTAAACTAAAAAAATGAATTATTTGAAGTTGTTCTTTTGTCGTTCGAAAAGACACCTTAATTTTTGTTTTCTCTAAAAATGATCAGATAAAAGTTACGCCTTAATTCAATATTCTATTTTGTAGTGAACTACTCGCTCTGATGAACGACCTGCTCTGACAGTTTTGCGCATGTATGAAAAAGGACTTACAGGGTTAACACTAGCCTGCTGGTTTGCTATTAAAAGTAATTTTCCTGATCTTTCCAAAAAACTCCTCACTACTTTTGAACAAAAATAGATACAATATTTCTAGTCACGACTTTTAATTTTTAGCTTGTTGAGCATACTTCGGGACAGACCAAAATAACCAAATATTTTGTTTAAAAACTTTCTAATCACCTGTTATTCGATAAAATAGAATAGAAAACGATAGACTCAAAGATACTTACAATTAACACTAAAATTGTTATGATGAATATTTATTCGAAGACATTTCACTTTTTCTTTTTTTTCTTCTATTACAGCCTACTAAAAACCAACATGAAACATCAACTAAATCGCAACAATTGCGAACACAAAAACTAACTACTACAGAACAATCTACAGTAGTATTATCACGTTCACCAACTCCTCCTCCAACTACTTCATTAAATTCTGTAAAAGATGAAGAAAGTGAACCATTTGTGGTATGTTAGAAAATATTTTTTTTAAACTAATTTTTAAAATATTTTGTTTTTGTCATAGGTTGCTCGATCGAAACGTGTTTCAGGTAAAACAAAAGAATCCACTACGAGTATTGTCCCTGTTAAATCAACACCGATTACTGATGGCGTTGTTCCTATTCAACCAACACCTTCAATCCCACATGTACCTCCATCACCACCACCAGCTCTATTGTCATCACCAGTGATTGAAAAACCATCTACACGTTCTGATCTTTCTGAACAACGACAAAATCAACAAGATTTACCACGATCAACTGATTCAAATAATGATCAACAATGGCATAGAGTTAGTTCTAGTCGAGGACTACGCAAAGGAACTACTGCGCCTACTAATCGACGAGAAACAACTGATGAATCTCAAAAAACAAATAAAACAGTATCAAATAATACCGGTAAGTACATTCCTTACATATATATATACATAAGTGTGTTACTTTTTATGCACAGATTAGTCTTTCTCTTGAAATGTGTTTTTGGTGTATTTATATCATTCATAATTTTCTTATTTAATTTTGATTGATCCTTCTTTGACTTTCTGCTTGATGTTGTTTGTTTTGTTTCCTATCAGATTTTTTTCTTGTAGAAAATCCAATGGTACCACCATTATTATCATCATCAAATCGTGCACATGCTTCTGTTTCTAATCATCAAGTGACACAGTCACGTCGTCGTCGGGGACGACGTTTAATTCGTACTACATCGCCCACACATGTTTCTAGTTTAACAAAAAGACAGAGTTTACAGACTAATACACCGATAAGTATTCGTAATCGAGAACTGGCATTTCGTCAGTTAACTGAACAGTTATGGGCAGCTGGATTACCGTCATCAACGACGGGATGTTCATTGTCTGTACGTTCACGTTGTTCATCCGCACCACCATCTGAACGTGGTGGTGATGATGAAATGACAAAAATTAGTTGGAACAATGGTTATAATGATGAAGAAAATATCATCGATTGGGATGAACCAGAAAAACCTGATGAGGGTAATAGTAGCTGGAAAAAAAAACATTCATGTATACTTATATATAATCTACTATATTTCACATATGCACGCATGGAAATTGCTTATATATGACTGTTGATTTGTATTTACTTTGCTTGCTTAAATAAGTAAAAAACAAGAATAGATGAATGTGAATAGAAATGCTTGTAGGTTTTATTTTCAACAATAGTAACTAGATGATATCAAATAAGAAGCTTTGAATGATTTTTTGTTCTTCTTTATAATGTTTTCTTTCTTGCGTTCTGATGCAGCATTTTATTTGAAACAAGGTGATGGTGTCCTTTTGTCGACGTGGCTAAATAGATTTTTTTTCGTTTTCTGTAATATTTATTGGTCTTCCTTTTTCTTTAGCGTATCATATAAAAGACGACGTTTATCTGAAGTCTTATTTGAGAACAACTAGAGAAATGAAGAAAATATCATATTTTAAATAAATCCTTTTAATTCATTTAAAAAATAATATATTACTCTCTGCTTTGTTGTTAATTTAATGCACGCTTTTCTTTTCTTTAAAAACTTCTAATTTAAACAATGCTTAGTTTAATTCCTTTTTCGGCGTCGAGTGAGTTTAAAAATCTCAATTCATAAATAGAAGACTTATCGAATTATCTTTTTATAGACTTTAGCCGATATGTTTCACAAACAGAACTATGCATGAACGAATCAAATGGTACTAATGAATGGACACAACAACCTGTATCATCATCAACAATTAATGATATTTCATCATTGATATCTATATCAACATCACCACCACCACCACCAACAACAACAATAACATCGACAAATGCTTCAGAAAAAATAACAATACCTGCAGCTATCATTAAAGAAGAGTAAGACAAAAGAAAAAAGAATCTTTGAAATTTAAATAACGGATGACCGAAAAAGTCATTAAACAAAATGTTCATCCATTTTTTCAACATTTCTAAGGAGAATGAAGAAATTTGAAAACACTCAGTTAGAATTATAATTTTGCATTCTTTTCGAATATGGATTCAAATTTTTTTTTGTAATACTTCAGGTTTAGAGGTTGTGAGCTGACTTTTTAGTAACCCGTAAATTAAGTTTCAATGGTCTTTAACAAAAAATATAACGAATGAAACAACAAATATCTCTGAATAAAATGGTATATAAATGATTAATGAGCTCTGAGTTATTTGTTAACATCGAATGTTTTTAGTTAAGAATACCGTGTCAATTTAGATCATTTTCATGATTTCTATGGAAAATAGACTTGCAAAGTGAGCTTGGTTATTTCTGAACGATTATTACGTATGCAGTAAACGAGATAGTAGCAGCAAAACGGGTTAATTTTCTGCGTTTCTAAAACGTCAATTCATAACTCCTAAACCAAAAGTTTAACAAATAAAAATTGAACGTATATTCAAAAAGAACACAAAGCTCTGATTATACCGTAATGCTTTCAAATTTGTTCTTGCTCATTAAAAAGCCTGAAAAAATGAGTGAACATATCGAAAGTATTCAACAAAGTTCATTTTCAGTTTTTTTTCTCTGCCATAAGTGTTAAAACGAATCAAAATAGTAAATCGAATAGAAAAAATTGTTTTCTAACATGAGTATAAGGAAATCAGAAAAAATATGATTAGATTTGTAAAAGCAGGGACTTCAAAAAACCGAAATCATAGTTTTTCAACATCTAGAGCGTATAAATATAATTTTATTTAAGCTACATCGAACGATAGAATTAATCATCCTCTACAGAATGAGACGTTGCCGATTTCTTTATAATATTTTTTGGCTGAGATACAGCATTTTGCTTGAAGGTCAACAAATGATTTTTATACAGGAAATCGAAAAAAAAACGTCGTAGAGGACTTGAAGATATCTCATTTTCTAGAAAATTGTTTGATCTATTGTTCTATTTAGTCTAAACAAAATTATTATTTATCCATTCTAGATGCTAAAAAACTATCCCTTTTACTGTTTAGAGTCTCTATCTTTGGAACTTGATAGTATTTTTTATTTCCTTATATTTCTCTTCGAAACCATCTTTTCTATTTGAATTCTTTCTAACTCTTGTGACAACAGAAAAAAAAATTGAAAATAAACCTTGTTGAATAATGTTAGTACCCACTATATATATGTGACATTATTATTAGTGTTGAGCCATTACCATTGATACAACATGGTCCAGGTCCAATACAACGGCCAAATAAACTTTCAAGTATACCATTAACACAACAATCAAGATCATCGTCATATTTTATAAATTCTATTCAATCACCCGAAACACCTGATGTACTTGATCAAATAAATCGTCTTTTAGACAATCGAAATAATGCAACACCCATAACAGTACCATCAACACCAAATATTAATGATTCATCGGTACCAACAAATGATTTAATAACACCAAATATTCCATGGACAGGATTTTCACCAACAACATGGTCATCAAAATATGATTCATCATGGCCATCAACAAGTATTCAAAGTCCAACAGTATCACTAACAACACAAGTACAAAATCCATTTGCACTTATGTCAACAATAAATGAAGTACAACGACAATCATCTAGAGAAGAATCATCGATTTGGTCATCAATAGTGGGTACAACAACACCACGTTCTTTATCATCAAGTACACGAACACAACGTGTTTCAAATTGGAACGACTTATTTTCATCAACTGTACCTTCATCAACAGAAACAACAAAACCAACAAATACTTCATGGCTAAAATTTTGGTCAGCACCTGATCCATCACCTACCGATGGTACATCATCAAATGGACATGACATTGAAACAAATAATCCAGTAAAATTGTTTTCTTTCTTTACTAGAAAAAAAAATCATTATTGTTTGTTTTAGTTTTGGAATTTAAATACACTTACTAATGAATCAGTAGTAATTCCATCAGCAATACCAAATCAACAACAAACACCTTCATCTGCTTGGTGGCCAAATTCATCATCTGATGAAAATAATAATAATAGTCAAGCAAATCATCTAAATAATGATACAATAAATAATCGGGACCGATCTCGATGGGACTTTGCTCGTTAAAGATAAAATTTTGTTTTTCGATATTTCTTCACCCGTGATGACTTTTTCATGCGATAAAAGAAAAAAAAAAGACTGCTTATTCAAGACCAATTTTGTTTTATTGGATTATTTTTAAGTTGCTAATCATATTTTAATTGTGCATAAAAAAATCTCATGGAACACAGCTGCGCAACTGTTTTCTTTTGTTTTATGTAAAGTGTGCAAAAAACAAAAATTAAAGAAAAAGACTCAAGAATTATAATAAATTAATAAAATGAAATAAAACTTGATAAAAATTTTATTTCCATTTCTTTTATTGTCAAACGAATACCGACAGTTGTTGCCTAATCAGAAATCTAAAGCCTGTATGCCGTTGGTAGTCTGAAGAAACGTGCAACATAGAGACTAAAACAATTCATAACTATGATAACACATAAACATCTTTATGTGCTTACGTTATTAATCATAAATTTGATTATTTTAGCAGTAGATTTTTTCCAAGTAATTATTCTTTCAGGTTCTGTTCAAATAGGTATTTTACAAAAAATAATTTCTTGAAAATTATGATCCAGAATAAATCGTAAACGTCACTTTTTAGAATTGAATCGTAAATAACTGCACACAAAAATATTAATGCGGTGAGAAGCACAGCATTTATGTAGTCCTTCGAGAGTTTCTTTAACTTTCTTGACATGCAACTTGAAAATTCCTATATGACCAATTTTTTTCCGACACTTTAATATCAAGTCCTGTTTGTTCTCGATTTCTTCCGTCAAATGATGATTTCAAACTGAGTTTCGTTTTTTTTCGAAATAATGAAAACCAGTTTCAGCAGCAAAAGTGATTAGATCGAATGTTGCTGCCATCTTTCGAGATTTTTGTTAGTGTTGATGATCGGCAATTGAAATTAAAAATTTAATTATAAGCCTTGTAGTTTAAATGAAATCTAAATTATTATCACTAGACATGATTTTTACTGATTTAATTTACTTTCTAATTGATAAAAGTTGCTCAGTCTTGTTAGAGGATCCACAGTGCTAACTAAATAGTTGTCTATTTTTCATTGATTTGATGAAAACTTGTTGGTTGTTTGCGCAATTTTTTCAGCACCACAGACTTTAAATTTCTTTATATTATCGTTATTGAACGCATAAAATCAATTCAAAACAGTTCAATGAAATTTTCTTTACTGTTCAATCACAATTCATGATTTCTGTTGATTCGATAATTCAGTATACTTCGGTTTCTTAGCTAATATATAGTTACAGAACTATTCTAAACCTAAAAAATGATGAACATCATTTTCGGATACCACATATACAAACAGTCGATCAGAAATTTTCATGAAAAAATATTTTCTGTGGTACGATGTATTATAGTCAGTTCCAATTACACTTTGTTTGACATCTGCATTCTATTGTTCACAATGACAGAAAATCATAATGAATTGGAGTTTTAAAACATCAATGAAAATGAATGGAAACTTAGTCGCGAGCTTTCGTGCATCATTGTGCTATGAATTTCGTAGGTTTTTGATACAGTATCTATTGATTTTCAATTAGCACGAAATCCGGTTTGTTTCTTAATAACTGATTGGTGGTGTATATAGTTAAGCGCGCATTAAACTCATTATTCTACTTTGTAACAATATAGAAACATATTTTTTCGCTAAATTTCACATTTCAACCAAACCAAAAGTTTTATGAACTCGTAAATGAAGAGACGAGTTTGAGTATCGAAGTGAATATACAAAGTGATTAAGTTTTTAACTGGATATAAACTTTAACAACATAATTCGCTAATCATGAAAAAATATCATAGACATTATGTTTTGCTTAACAAAAAATAATGGTGATTGTTTCATTAGGACTATGGTGAGAAGATGGATGTAAAAACTACTTTTTGCATTCTATGCTAGAATTGATTAATTTTTCATTTACAAAATTTTTTTTAATAACAATGGCAACCTTCTGCTTATACTTTCATTAGCTTTGTATGATAGTGAACTCTCAAGTGAGTAGAAAAAGTCTACCGAAATAAGAATTCGCCGTTCATTTTCAAATAGCAATGTATACTGTTCTGTTTCTGGGTACAAAATCCATTTGCTGCAACATAAGGAGAAGAAGAGAAAAAACCTTCCAGGCTCTAAAAGAAAAAAACAAACCAGAATGTGATACAGTGTATGAAATTATATGTCAATGACTTTCTTGATTGTTTCGTTTTCTTCTGATAGTACCAAAAATAACCGATAAAAAAGGAGTGAAGCACTTGAATAAAACGAAAAAAGATAAGAATTTAAATGACAAGAACAGCCAAAAACAAATAAAAACATTTAGAAAAAAAATTTCAACATACTATATGAATTCAAGTAATATTATTTTTTTTTCTTTTTCATCGATAAAACAGCATGGACAAAAAAAGCCGATAGCAACAACAGCTGCTGCCACGTCATCTGAACATACGATCATTAAGTCAAGACGACCTCCTGCTATTCATATGGTTCAGAACTTTTTGTTTGTCTGGCTCGCGACAGTAGTATCGATCCAGAAAACAACCAAGATTGCAAGCATACGATTTCAAAATTAAAAGAAGTAATCAACAAGATCAATACATTCAAAGATGTCGATGAATGTATCAATTTTATCAGTGATTTCAAACACGACAAACTATTTATAATCGTTTCTGCAGCACTGGAACACATCACAGTTCCCATGGTACACAACATGTCTCATGTCAGTACAATTTATATTTTTTGTGGAAACCAAGCTCGGTATGAACAATGGATCAAACAATGGCCAAAAATTAAAGGAGTCTTTACAGATATTGCATCGATATGTAAAGCCCTTCACAACATGCAGCACAAGAATGTGATTAAAACATGATATCGATCAGTTTTGTCACCACTGATAGTGAATCTACCAAGCAAAATCTCGATCAATTAGATTCTTCATTTTTGTACACCCCGAAAATGAAGGAAATTTGATTAATTATCGATTTTAAACAACATCATATTGATGAATTTCCTTACATACTGTTGGAACATTTTTGCCGATAATGCAAACGAACTTCAATAAATCAACAAACTCGAAAAAGAATACCAATAGCATCTTCTGATTTGGTGGTATGTCAACCAATGTTTTTTGTATTCGATGCTCAACCGATCATTACGAATGATGGAGGTCAATATCATCATAAGCATGGGATTTTTTATTCGCGATCTCCACAACCATATCCTCAAGCTTCGTAAGAAATAATATGTTGAGCAGACACATAAAAAACGGTTTACTGTCTTTCGTGATCAAGGACTACCGATGGTTGACTTGATCGACTGGTCAAGACACAAGATGGACTTTTATCATTTAATAATTTTGTATCGACCAGTATGAACCGTCAAGTATTTCTCACCTTTGCTCGTCAAACTATAGAAACGTCCGATCTTATTGGTATTTTATTCGTCATGAAAATTGATCCGTCCATTACATCAACATCATTTACTGACATCCGTAATGTTAGCTATTTCAAAGGAGAAGAAGAAATTCTCCTCTCCATGCATTCCATTTTTCGTATTAAATCCATGAAACAAATCGATGGAAATAATCGTCTTTGGCAAGTCGATTTAACGATTTAACATTGATCAGTGATAACGATCCAAAACTCCATGTACTTACTGCACAGATGTGCAAAGAGACTTATCCTGTAAAGCAAAAGGTGGGATCGTTTGGGCAACTTGCTAATTAAACTGGAAAAGTACAACATAGCCCAAGAGATGTATAATATTCTGCTTGATCAAACAACAGCTGATTCAGAAAAAACATTCATGTATCATATGCTCGGCATAATCAAAGATGGTCAAGATGAATATAAAGATACCACTGCCTATTATAAAAAGTCTATTGAAATTAAGCAGAAGATTCTCTCATCAACGGATCACAACTTGATTACTCACTGTACTCCAACTGGACTTCAGCTATACTCCAACTTATGGAATCTTGCTTTTTGCCCCTTGCAAAAAACTCTTCCTTCAAATCATCCAGATTTGGCTCGATCTTACGGACATATTGAAATGGTATCTTTTAATATGAAAGAGGATTCGAAAGCAGTTTTATATTGTGAACGGGCTCTTGAAATTATAGACAATTCACTACCCACAAGTCATCCACATATTCAATTATATAGAAATAAGCTCGACTATGTAAAAAAAGAAACTGTAGTTGATTTTTGTTTTGTTTGGAAAAATAAATATAATGAAGTGAATAGAGTGTTTTTATTTTGTTTTTATTTAAAGAGATACGAGCATGTACGTGCATACAGAGTGAATCTGCCATATTAAGAATACAATAGGACAATGCCTATCGGTAACATAATCAATAGATCTTCAAATATGGATCGTGAAAGATGAACACAGTGATTCTGAGGACATCGGGAGATGATGCGATCTCAGATGGGAATGTGTATGAAAATAAGTGTGACTATGGTGAAGTTGACAGGATCCGTTTGTTTTTTTAAATTCTCATCTCTCGCTTCGTGCGCATGTTTCGTATACCCGAAAACGATGACTGTATATACGATTGGAGAAGATAATTTTTCTTTTTGGAACAGAAATTGACAGGTAATAGGTTTGCTTATTCATGTTTAGAGAAATATTGCTATCAGTTATCGATTAACGCGAAAGAAAAAAGTAATAAAATAATGATGAAATAAAACAGAACATGGTTAGTGCAGTAGTATCATTGAGATAAAATGAATAATGAACGAATCAAGCATGTGATTGATGATTCTAAATGGTTTCAAATGAGTTCTTATGTGTCATTCGTTTGAATAGTACCTGTTTGAGAAATAACATCGCATGAGATTGAATTCAAAAATTGATGTATCAATCCATTCAACAATGAATATCGTTGAGAAAAGTGTTAAACAATAAGCATGTGCATGTGGGTTTTTTCTATGATCGAAATTTTTCAACTTGAAAATTATACTTCGGTTTCTTTTGTCTTTGAAATTTCTTTTTTGAGTAGAAGTGAAACTTCATGGTTCTTTTTCTTATCGTTCTACTACCTTCAGAAAAGTTCAAAAATGACTTTTTATTTTCTATAAGAACTCTAATATTCTGTACGAACAATATTTTCTAGAGATTACCTAAAATTAGTAAATAAATAAAAATTCAATAAAAACAAAATTTCAAATGCGTCTATGATCACTAATAAATATGCCATCGACATGCTCACTATGTCAAACTTCCTTCAGAGCATATATGGAGATCGACTATGAACTGAAGCTCAAGTGTACGAGTATCATCTAATCAAAATAATTTGGTCAAGTTCTAATTTCGTGTTTGAGAAAAGCACTGTTTTTTTAAAACTTTCTGATCGTTTTTTCAGGTAAATTTCGTTAGAACTCAGCTTTAAATAACTCACAGCAGAAACTTCTCAAATATGTCTCTAAGATGTTAATTATAGTTCATACATTTCTTACGTCGAATATTCAGTAGAAATATTGAGTATTGAGATTTTTTGACGAAGGTATTACCGTTAAAAATCTGCCATTCACACTTGTCACTATTCTACGTAATTCCTAATCGCTCAATAGTTTTTTGAATACTGAAAAACTTCATATCTTCGCTTTCATTCTTATTCATATTATTTTTCTCATGTTTGTCTCTTGAAGTTTTATGCCTTCCGAGATATTTTGGTTCTTCATTTTTCGATTTTATCTTAATGTCATATTAGTTCACTGTCAGTCTTGGGTTCATTTAGCATAACAGTTGTCTACAAAAAAAATCAACAATCGATGTGAATACCAGAACAGTCAAAACATTCTGCTATACAAATGTACCACATTAAAATAAACGATTTTTTTTTAATGTCATCAACGGATTGCAACAATTAATATTACAAAAAGTAATCATTTGCGCATGACCAACAAAGAAATGACAAGCAAAAATTATTTCTTAATATGCTATGTCAATACTGTACAAATATTTATTTTCTTCACAATAAACATTTTTAATATTAATCTAAATATGTATCATTATCTGTTATTAAGTCGTTGATTCATTTTTATTTTATACTCGCATAACAATTTTTACATGTCATTATGATCGATTTCAATAAATTGACGTCAACGATTACTTCGTGGTTCGCCATCAACTAAATCAAAAATATCTAATTGATAAATAAAATTAAGAAAGTCAATCGAGAGTTACATCTTCCTACATAAAGGAATCACAATTGGGTCTTCATTAAATTTATTCATTGCAATGAATATAATACAAAGTTATCTGGAACAGTTAGCTAAATCATGTATAATTCTATTCTCAATTTCTTTTCATGTCAATCATAGATATTTGAATATAAGATTTTTAATCATTTTTACATGATCATTGTGCACACGATGAAGACTTTAAATGGATTTTCATATATTTTAGTTGAACAAATGAATTAAGACCATTGTTCATGAAAGAATTAAAACAGTGATATCCAATATGGAATAATATTCTTCGAAATAACTAAAACTAAATATTGTATGAATTTCATTTTATCTTCAAGAAAGAGAGCTTCCAAACTATTTTCTCGTTGAATTAAATTCAGCCAATGAATTCGATACTAGAAAAATAAAAGCATATTCTATAATTAGTTCAACAAAAACTATTACATTTTCATGTTTAAAAAGATACCATATTAAGACCATATTCAATCATTGGTATTTAATTTTCGAGACCACCAGATTTAAATCATAGTTTCTCATCAATATTTTGACCAATATTAAGAAATATTGGATGAAGACATTTTTTTTTCAATTAAACTTGGTTCATCAACTGCATCAAATATCTACAAAGCATTCTGATTAGAAACAGTAAAGATTTTATTTGTTGGTTGATCGACAATATTTTCGAATATTTCTTCAGTATAACGATGATAACTGTTTAAGTGGCCATTAAAATTTATTGAAATCAATGTTTATGAGAAAAATAACGTTTGTTAAAAATAGCATGGCCTTTAATTCTTGACGTAGGCATCAAAAGTTGTCAGTTTCTGTCACGACGATCTTTACAGACGAAAGTCAAAAAACAAAAAGTTGCCCATTCAAAAGCAAGAGTGAAATCTCATGATCGAATCGACAGCATATTTTTTCACATCTTCAATATGACGTTCCACTTTCTTACAGAAAGCCATCCAAAAATGCAGGTTTAAATTATTCACCGCTATCTTTTCTTACAGCTAAGACAGCAATGATTACAGCAAATGATCGATCATGAATCAGAGAGAGAATCAAGCGATCGATCGAAAGTATTCTTTAAAATTTTGTTGATTTTCGTTAATAGAGTTCTCTTAGCAATGAATTTTGCAATGGATACTTCACAGTTTCTTTCTGACTTCGATCATCTGTTTGGTCATAACAACTTTCCCGATTTATGGCGGAAAAAAAAAGAAATCCTAATTCCTGTATAGCCTAGTTATCTTTTGGAGAAAAGTTTACATCGCATTTCGCAGCCGAATGAAACTCGAATGTCATCTAGTTTCCTTGACTTTCAATTTGCTTAAAAATCATTGTTTCTCACATGATATATCACTTTAATTATGGTGTTCGTAAATACGCGTTCAAAAATTCTCGGACTAATATAATTTGATAATAAAAAGACGTGCTGGTATATTATGATTGATGTTTGCACATAGTTCTTATAGTTCTCGATTCATATATGCATGTCATAAGTCCTACTTTATTAAACATATTTGTAGAATATATAGCCTTACTTTTTAGAACATATTATATCCTTCAGACTGGAAATTTGAGCAAATTCTGCTTTGTACAGGACAGATTGTCCTTCAATATGTGTTCAAGTATAATAAAAGTTTATAGTTATGTTAAATATCATACATTGTACATCTGAAATGTGAATAGGATCTGTTACTATCTGAGTTACAATTCGACTATCTTCAATCATTTGACTTTTTCTTTTTTAAATAATGATGTTGTTTACATCGACGATCATCATCAATGTATGATTATTCATTTTTTCAAATTATGATTCCACTAAGAAGTCATACTAAGTGATGGAGTACTGCTTTATTATAGGCGATGGTCATGCTGTGCTACATAGAAGATAACGCATAGTCTTTTCAAAATAAGAAATTTTATTACTGAACGATACTCGAATTTTCGAATTTTGTGTGAGTGGGTATTGAATAATAGAAAATAATATAGCCAGACTCATTAATAAATAGAAGTCTATATGAGCTACTTGAAAACATCGACACTAATACAGTAGTGCTTCTTATTCATTTCATATAAAATCATTTCAAGACTGCTTGAATGATCTACTTTGGTAATCTATGAAGATTGACACAATGGCTTTAATCATTTATGAAAGGAAGCACTACAGAATCTCATATAGAACTTTTAATGAAAATTTTGTCGACATACTAACAAGTAATTATTTGCCTTCCTTTGTCCATTTATGTAATGCTCTAATAAATTTTAGTATTAAAAACAGCTGGTGCCCCATTAGTATAGAAATGGAAGACTAAAAAACAAGGAGCAGAATGTCGTCGAACGAAACAAATACAACTGCAATTACAACAATTATTGACAGTAAGTTATAAAAAAACGTAATATTGCTTTTTTTCTTGTTGTATTCAAATGTTAATTAATAGAGAGAGTGATTATTTCTTAATTCACTCAATGTCAAAAAACAAGAATAAATGAACAGAATCAGACACAGGTTTCTTTAAATAATCAATGTTTTAATATATATACACCTTGATCACGTTATTTTTCAGAGTTTTGTTTAGGTTGACTGTATTTATATAGATTTTATGATATATTTCTTATTTTGATATAGTTAGATTAATTGTTCTATCGAATCGTATAGATTGTATTTGATTTATTTTGCATCTTGTTCGAAAATTTTAATAGATGCTGAAAAATGATTAAACAGAACTTTTCGCATGCTCATATTACATTGAAACTGAATTCGTTAATCATGAAAACTACTTTAAATGAAAGAAATTCACCAAACTAGAAGGTGTGAAAAATATGAAGCAATACGTATTTAAAATAAAAGAGACAATTGAATTTAACTGTAAAAATTGAGGCCTTTTTTATTTAGGCAAAACAAAGTTTATTTTAATTTTCACAAAATTTGATCTGTTAGACTTGACAGAAATTCGATCACAACTGTATGAATCGATACAGAAATCGATGCTCTATTCAGTCATGCATCAAAGATAAACGCAAAAAATTCACATGCTTAAGTAACTAAAATTTCCTTGAAAAAAAAAACAGAGAACAGTCTATAAAACTAGTTCATGAAAAGACTTCTCAGAAAATGAACAAATTTGTAGTGAATATAAGGAATAAATCCAATGAAAAATATATAATTCGATAGAAAAACTAAAGGTCTATTCTTCTATATCTAAGTAAAAAATTCCAGTACTTTAGTAAATATTAGTTATGACAGAAATTAACCGCGCAATGATCCTACAATTTCTAGGTTAAAAAAAACTTTTTGTCTGCTTTTCGAAATTAATAAATTTCTCTACAAGATACACAATAAATTAAATACAAAAAAAATATATGATTCGATATAATAATTGATACTCTATCCAACTATGTCGAAATAAGAAATCTCCGAGATTATGTATAAATACAGTAAATTGAACAAAACTATAAAAAATACTGTAATCAAGCTGCATAAATATATATACAGGGTATTCCCAAAAGTTATCTCCACTGAATAAATGCATATAACTCAATTACTAATCAAGCTTCATGCAAAAAAAATTTTCTTATTAGAAAGAGAAGACTAGTAAGTTTTCATTCTTCAAGATCAAGTTCATGAACATACTAGCAAAGGAATCATTTGTGGCCACAAGACAAAAATTAGATTTTTCGATGCCGAAAACAATATATGTCACATTTTCAATATTTAATTAAGTTTCGATCGTTATTACGATCTTCAAATTAAAAATTATTGCTTTACAATCATTTTTTGACATATTTTTAAAATGATCACATAATTGATGCGCTGCTTGAAAGCAAGTCATTTGTGATTCTTCGAAAACTATTCTGACTCCAAAAACGAGGATGTCAGACCATTTCACAAGTCACTTTATTATTATTAAAATTGTCTCTGATACTTGCTTTTCTCAAGAATATATCAGAATGAGTATGAATTAAGTCATGAAGATAGATTTGAATGATATGAAGTCTATAATAACGATTGAAACTTGAGTAAATATCGAAAGAAGCTCTATATATTGCTTTCAGCATCGAAAAAAGTCCAATTTTTGTATTGTGGCTAAAAATAATTCCTTTTCTAGTGTGTTCATGAGCTTGGTCTTTAAGAAAATGGACATGACTTTTGGAAAACCTTGTATATCTGAATAGATTTGAAAAGCTAGCAATGAACTTGTTAAATGATATGTTATAGATCTCATGAAATTTTATTAATGTTCATTAAAGTGTAAAAAACAGATGTACTATTCATACAAATAACACAGGCCACAATACTCTTTTCACAATGATAAGAATGAAACTATTTTTTACTTGTTTAATTTCCGTACATTATAACTACACATGATTTGTCATGCACATAATTGAATTGTTCTTAAGATAGTTCTTTGTTTTATTAAAGGTAGTCTAACAAAAGACAGTAGATAAAGCCCAAAAAGAAAAACCAATTGTTTTTTTTTTATCAAAAATAAAAATTTATACTAGATAATTTTTCTGATAAGATCATTAACTAGATTTCATAAAATAGCATCTTCTATGTGTTGTGTTTTTATTACGCCTAAGTAGTTTATTTATGCTATTGAAAAAAATTATACGCATCATTTCGTGAGATTTTTAATTTTCCAGGTGTATTCATTTTAATGATTATATTGCGTTGTTTTTTTTCGCTTTTAGATTCCGTAGCATGGAGTGCTGTCGGATTTTTAATATTTGTTGCTGTAATCTTCATTATATCAATTATATTAATACTTTATTTTGAAAAAGTTTGCTGTTTTGCACGACATCGATTTTTAAAACATCTATTAAGACGAATTACTAGAACGAAAAACTCTAAATCAACATCTACGACTACTCAACCTATTGCAATAAAATCTATGGATAAATTTGAAGATAAAAATAGAACTTCACAAATTTCAGAATATCTTTGGATAGCTGGTCAATTTGAAGAAAGAAAAAACTTTGAACCATCATCATTATTAGATACAACTGAATTGGGTATGTAAATTTCAATTGATGTCATAAATAAATTATTCTTATCTTTTTTTCTCTTTTATTTTGCTTGGTTTCTTCTTCTTCATTTCTTAGACAACACATCAGATTCGACATTACCTCAATATTTCCTGTCATGACTTATCTTGTTTCTTTTTTTTTCTCCCTTTGCCTTCTTTATTTTCTTCTGTTTTATTCTTTACCATTAAATTTGTGTTTTTCTACTCTTTCTTTTTCTCTTTGCATACTTTCAAAAAATGATAAAATGGCAAATGAGAGAATAAGAACATTTTCAGTTATAATTGTCTCTAATTGTCCTCTTTTTTGTTTTCATAAAATTTTTATAGATTTTTCTCTTATTGAACTTATTTTCTATATGTAATACATAAATAATGTCAAAACATACTATACTCAAGTCAATATCGTTTTCTCTTTCATCATCTACCATACATGATTTTCTCTCTTGAGATCTTGAAAAATATTGTGGATTCTTTCGAATATCAAGTTATTTTCTTATTACTTATTAGCTGGAAAACTAAGTCTTTTTTTGTTCATACAACAGATTTAATTGAATGCGTCTTTTCGTTTCTGATACATACATAAAATTATTTCGACTTTTGACTATCTTTCTATTGAATTTAATATTTCATACAAAATAAATTAATTACGGTAAGTTTCTTAGTCAGTTTTGTGTGTTTGAAAAGAAAGAAAAACGACAACGAGGTATTTTTTAGTTGATATAAACTTCTTTTTTTTTTTTCTAGAAATATTAACCAGCAAACTTCACATATAATTTGCGTGAGCGGATGTAAGAAACGCACATCTGTAAAAGTGCTCGTACACTCATATCCCGATTAATACTTGTCAAGCATTTGTCTGCTTATTATTATTAAAAAACATGTGTTATTATCCTTTTTTCCGTAAGATTATCATCATTGATGTCATAGATTTTGTTCGTGTTTGTCTTCAATGTAAATAAGGAATGAATTGAATATTGAAATTCTTTAGGGAAATTAACTTCTGTCATTCTTGCTTGTTTTTTTCATTTCTATTCTATGTTGTTGATATTGAAATAAAACTTGTTTTAGTTCTGTTTATTAATATATAGGACATTCATAATTAATAATTATTTTCGTTTTTTTTTCTATCTAATAGGCACAGATTTACCAGACGATGATTATACAACATTAGTACCACCAGTAAAACAAATAAATAATGCTGGACGAAAACTACCAGTAATACCAATAATTATTGAACATAAAGAAAATGATTTACCAGGAAAAAAGGGTATATTCGAAGAAGAGAAAATTGATTAAGAGATATTCCTTGAATGTTTTTAGTAAAAAAGTTACATTCAAAATCTAATGATCGACGAAAGACAACAATAACTCGAGTATCAAGACGGCAACCAAGTGATGATCATGATTCAATTGGATATGTACAATCAGCTCCATCATCACCTGCTCTATTACGTAGTTCTGGACAAAGATCAAAACATAATCATAGCCCTACGGATCAACTTAATGTTGTAAGGATGAAGAAATATGAATTGTCAGTTTTGAATTGATTAAAGAGCTTGACTTTTTCTTCCCATCTCAATATACTACACTATAGAGACTCTAAGATATTATTATTTTCTCTAAGAAATCGTTCAATGAAAGACAATTTTAATTTTACGAGAAGATGATAATTATTACATAATAATATACATAGAAAAAAAATTTAATGAAATTGTTTCTTTTCTAAACGCTTTTTATTGCTATTTGATAAACAAAGTAGTGTTTAGTAGAACAGATAAATGAATCGACTATTCTTGTAGTTATTAGAGTGAACTCATTATAACGATGGTTTTTAATTTTCTGAAAATAGAACCTTAATAATAACATATTTTTATTTTTTAAGGAATTCTCTTTATAAAATGCAATCTCATTTTAGAGAAAGTTAACAGAAATAAAATATGCTTGTTTTTGACTTTTACCTAATATATATATATATATATATATATTTTTGAATAGGAAACAAAATCTATATCAAGTGATCATAGTCCAGGATTCATAAATGCTCGAAGTAGTAGTTTTTCATCGGGTACACTTGAAATTCGATTAAAACTTGATGCTAAAAATAGCAAAATGTGGGTATTTATTATAAAAGCAACATTAGAAATGGATCAACGTGCATTAAAACAAGCACTTATTCAAATACATCTGGCTATGTTACCTAATAAACGTATTCGTTTTCGTACACAAGCTAAACCTGCTGATAATGCTATGTTTGCCGAAGAATTTTTCTGTAAAGTATCACCAGGTTAATTTTATCGAACTAAAATATGTATGCAAGTAAAAAAACAAACTGTTTTTTTTTTGTTTTTCTATTCTATTCATTAGAATCTATTCAAACACAAGGCATTCGTTTTCGACTATATCTAAATAGACGATTTAAACGTGAAAAACTTGTTGCTGAAGCAACAGTTATGTTTGGTTTAATTAATCTTGATGAAGATATGTGTAAAATTATTACGTTAGAACCAGTATATGTAAATATATTTATTGTGATTATAAATTTTCTTGTTTTTTAATCTCCTTTCTTGTTTTTTATTTAGCCATCGGATGATTCAGAATTAGCTAGTAATAATTCACATACAAGTAGTAATGTACAATCAAGAAAAGATTCATTAATTTTAAGTGGAGAAACTACTAGTTCTACTTTACCAGAAATTGAAATTGGTTTAGCTTATGATACAAAGCAATCGATTCTCATTTTTGAAATAGGAAAAGGAATCAATTTTGGTATGACTTTACAAGGACGTGTTCCAGGTAACTACATATGTTTTTTTCATAGATTGGTTATTAAATATTTTGTTTTCGTTTTGTTTAAAGATACATATGCTCAACTAACACTTTTAAATTCTTCTGGAGAAGAAATGGCATCAAATCGAACAGTTACTCGCCGTAATCAACATCATCCTGTATATGCTGAACGTTATCCATTTAACATTGAAGAAAATCTTCTTAATCAAGTAACACTTGTTGTTACAATTATTAATAAAAAAGCAAAAGGAAAAGAAGATCGTAATCTTGGTTGGATATCATTTGGTATCGTTGTTTATTTGTTTTTATTATATATTATCAATGCATCCATGTTTGAATTTTAATTTACATGTAGGTCATGGTGCCAGTGGTGATTCTCAAGTAGCTCATTGGGATTCAATGCTCAATGCGCAAGGTGAAACTATAACACGATGGCATGCTTTATTAGAAAGTTAAATATTTGTGTTGTAATAATGAATTTTTGTCATTGTCAATACTTTAAAATATATATTCATGTGGCTTACATAATCCAGTTTTACTCGTTAGTTGACCTGATTACTATATTGTTTGATTGCAATGTCTCTTTTATAGTTTTTAAATGAATAATAAAATGTACAATTAATTGATTTAATTTTTCATTTGAAATATAAGCTTCTTTCGCTTTTTTTTGAAAAATTGTAATACAGTAGCAAAAATTTATTTGTTTTATTTTACATAAGTGTACTAAATTATTCTGTCTGTTAGTTTTTAAGCATAGTGGAAGACACTTTTTGAATGTTCTGAATCGATGCATATAGTGAAAAACACTAATTTAGTAAAGCATATTCGTACTTGGTAAAATATGAAGTTATTAGAAAAATGTTGAAATATAGAATAGAAATTTTCAATTATTAATTTAACTCTGTAACAATCGTGGTAAATAATGACCTTTCGTGTTCTTCTTGCTCTTTTCTATTAATAAAAACATGTCGGATCTTTTTTTTTTCTATCTTTTGAATCATGTTTGATATTTAAGTATATAAGAATGGTATATGACATATTAAAGCAAGATTTTGTTTGAAATTAGTGTCTTAAGACATAATTTAAATTAAAATTCATTGGAACATAAGATAGAAGCTTCTTTACTTTCTTCTTAAAATAGTAAAAAAAGATCCTTGAAAACGAGTAATCAGTTGTGTTTTTTCTAAAATTTCACTCACTACTTCCGTATCTCATTAAAAAATGAAATACATTAGATTTTATTAAAATAGCTGACATTAGTAAATGATTGATAATCATGTTTTTTTAATAATATACTACTATTTGCTGTCTTATAAAATAGAAGTTTGATAAGTTCTTATAATTTGTTTTGATTTATTACTATTATTCGCTTCTTATTATCTGGCATGAATCAAACAGTTGAAATTGTTTGTTTTGGCAGGTGAGTATCATTCTCATAATTATGGAACTACATGATCGCAAAATTTCTCGATAAATATAAATCTAAAGCAGAAAAACTTTCCTACAAGATGTAGCTACTAAAAGTCACATGTCATCATCAAGCAGTTAGGTACTGACATAATAACAACAAATCGAGTTCATAAGCTGTATAATTCATTAGATAGCTTTCCATTCACTCGTCAATAGTAAACCTTTTTCTATGTTTGTAGCGCATCAGATTATCAAAGTACGATGTAGACGTAAGAAAAGTTCAAAAGAAAAAGTCTTTATCATACCAATGAGTTTGAATGCCTGTTGACTAATTACTCATTTTATTTATTGAAATAATCCTTTTAACTTCAATAAACTCTTTCTTTTTTGAATGGGAGAACTCATTAAGAAAGCTCTGATATTTCAAGATGAAAGTACTTTAATTCATTTATAATTAATGAGCAATGTTTTATCCAGATTTTCTCTTTTATAGACGCGATTAAAACTTTACCAGAGCGAGCACTTACTTTCGGAAACACAAACACATAATATGTATTATAATAATTGCTCAATCCAAGGAGACTCAATTCAGCTTTTGGAGAGGCGTGGTTCCTACGCTAGAGCAACAACACTGTTGATAAAGGAAGTTCGTCAATTGATTAATTACTACTAAGTCAAGACAAAGCGCATTAGGCACACTCTAATGAGTTATGAATACCTTGAGAAGAGCTCGTGCTATCAGTTGGTTGCTGTCGGCATACTACGTTGTTACGGTGTCACTTCGGGATATCTGAAAAACTGGTTATAGAAATTCGACGTAAAATTTTACACAAGGATAGGTTTTGAAAAGAAAAGATTATTATAAAAGATTTTAGATCTTTTCATCGTTACTATCTTAAGATATAGCTATGGTAAAACCATGTCTGTTACATCGTTTACATACACTAGTAGATTTGATGTGCTTAGTTCAAAATAGGAACAAATATAAAAAAAACTAAAATGCTCACAATAAACTATTCTATTTAAGGTCTATCTCTGTGCAAAATTTCAAGTCGAAAATTGTAAAATTGGTTTTTCACATGTTCTGAAGGAGATCTACGACTTTGATTTCAAAAAATTACCATAACAATGCAGCATGTCGAGAATAATATGCTAACAGCACGAACTGTTTTCAGTATATTCATAATTCATGAAGATCTGCATGATGTACATTGTCTTGATTCAAAAATGATTAATCAGTTGCGGGACTTCCATTGTGAGATCATTTATTAAACTTCATTATCATACGATTCACGCTGTTGTATGCTATTTGTGCCCGACAGAGTTTCAATATTCAAAGTTATTCACGCGATAGCTCGATGAGACTTGAGAATTATTATCATATGACAAGTTTTAAAAATAGTCACTTTGAATAATTCTTACCTATCAATTGAAATATTTCACCGTTTAAGCATAGAACCTGTTGAGAAAACTATGTTCCACGTGTCTCCAAGATTCGTTTTTTTTTTCTGTGATCAATCTAGTGTCTAATATCACACTATCTATATATTATAATCTTTCTAATCAATGAATTGAATTTATAAGATATACTGAGGAAATTGTTTTCTTATGAAGAGTTCTAATTTCTTATAACTAAGTTGTTTCAATTTTTTATATTCAATTATTATTTATCATGAGATAATGAATAGAACAAAACTCTATAAAATCTATCGTGACATCAATAAACTACTGTAGCATGTTGTAAATTTTGAATTATTTATGAATCAATAGTAAATGCATGGTACTAATTAATTTTGATAAAAGAGAAATACCACGAATTAAAAGAAAAAAAAAACACAGAAATTCTAATAACATTATATTATTGTACTTGACAAATTACTTGTGGTTTATATAAAGTTTTTTTTTAGTCGAATACTTCATGTAATAAGAAAATAATCAATAAACAAATATAGTTTGTAAAAGTTCATTTACTTTTGGAGTACATTATAAATATATTAATTATAAAAACTTACGGCAATTCATTTTATTCTTTTTTTGTGTGAAATCAATAATTTATTATTTGCGAATAGGCAAATACTGTTTTTTTCTAAGAGTTATTTTGTCATATAAGTTTCATTTGTTTTTAGACTTAATATAAGTATCCTTGAATTTGATATAACACTAGCATGTATATAATTATTTTTTATTGAATAAAAAAGACTTTCATGATGATATATTCTCCACCTGTTTTTCATTATTTTTATGATCTCGATAATTATTGTTATTCTCATAATCCAATTAATCATTGATAAATAAATCCCATCATGCATTGTTTGTCTTTCTTATTAATGTTTATCAGATATGTCACTCTATTTGATCTATTTTATGAGAAGCAATGATTAAAGATTTATTTTATTAGATATATATTATTTTAAATCGAATCTATCTACATAATAAAAGTTATCATCAGTAATAAATTTTAATCATTGATCTAATTGTAAACAAATATGTGATGATATAGAAAAAATTGTTTACATGTCAGAGACTAGTTAGCCAATAAAATTAATACACGACGATTGATTTGCATTATTTGACATCGACGTAAAAAATATAACTATTCAATCATTTGCATTTTCCTATATTAATTTGACATCGATAGTTTTACTTTGAGAAGTTTATCGAACAATGACTCAACATAGATTTGATATTCTCTCACTAAATTAGTTTTGAGAAATGTTATTATACTAGAATTTCTCTTCCATTTTTAGACGACATTGGTAAAGTGAAACATATAACAATAAACTAGAAAAATAACTACTTCCAGAGTTGACCAAGTATGTACTAGATCAGCTCTGCCTGTTTGAATATAGTTGGTGTTTGTATATTTTTATAAGACATTTATTACACAAACAAGATAGAACTACTAAAGATAAATAAATAAAGAATATTTATTAAGATGAATGTTGAAGGAATGATATATTAGTTTAGAAACATCTTGATTGACTGATGATACTATTGAGCTGTTTAACTGCGTAATCAATTGTTCTATTTTTCATCAGTTTTCGAAGATCTATAATGAAAAAAAATATTTTCAAAAAATTTCAGTAACTAAATACTAAAAATATAGATTAAAATAATAAACAACATTTATTAAAAAGTCGTTTGAGAGTACTCAGAAATATCTTCTTCTTCGTTTGCTCATCAATTCTTCCAACAAGGTCGCTTCCACAGTCTTGGTGATCTCGGGATACTCCTGAGAATGCTCTTACTAGATCTGACTCTTTATTCATATTTCAATATTATATATGGTTTTGAATGTCAGATCTTTAGTCTTTATTCTAATTTTCTATCATCTATTTATAATTATCGAGAGAAAAATTGAATAATCATTAACATATCCATTCAATCATCAGAACAAATTATCATTGCAATGAACGAAATAGTAACATGATAAATAACGTTTAAACACGAGAATAGTAAGTCTATAATCACAGCAAAGAATACTTTTTTTATTTTTTTTCTAACATTGAATTATTTTATTCAAGCTTTAACATATTAATCCAATCATCGTCAAGAATAACAATAGAAAATTAAAGCAGATACTCTCTCTATTTATATATATATATATATCAATATAACAAGAGAACAATCAGACTAATTAGTTCCATATTTCTATGGAGTTTCTAGCACATTTATATCAAATATCTCTTATTAACGCGAAAATTTCAGTGTTTGTAGAGCGCATTAGGCAATCATTTTGGTGTGTTTTGATTGTAGAAAATCCCTTGGCATCTATGACTGCCGGAGGACGACTTTTTACAGATTTTGGCATGTAATATCTCACAGATGATTGCAGAGTGTTTTTTTTTTATCTTGTTTTTTGAAGCGTTTATTATTCGCATGTTTCTAATCACATAGTTTTCTCAGTAGGCTATTTTTATTCAGTTCTAATCGTAGTATCTGAAATGATATTATTTCAAATTCTGGAAGGAATGTGGGAGAGATAGAAACTGATGAGTCTTCACTTATGACATGTCAAAATAATGAATAGTGATCCATATTTCTAT